GGGGGGGGCTCTAGGGATGGCGATGTAAGGTGGAACTCTTGGCTCTCTGATGTAAGGTGGGCTCTGGGGACACTGTAAGGGGGCACTCTGGGGATGCTTATGTAAGGGGGACCCTGATGTAAAGGGGCAAACACATGGGTCCCCAAGGGGGCTCTGATATAAAAGGAACTCTCGGATGAACAATCTAATATAACAGATTGGTTCATGCAAATCTAACAATGTATGGCCAGCTTAACTCCTCCCTATTCTAAACAAAACAAAAAAATGCCGTTTACATACATTTAAAGTGAACCTGTCATGAGAGAGCTACAAGGGCAGTCAGCAAAGCAGCCAGGCAACTTCTGTTTTTTTTTAAAGCAAAGCCAGCAATGTAAGCCTTTATGTGTCTGCTATGGCACTTTTACTTTAATTCACAACTGACCACCTTTTTATTTGGGAGTAGGCTATTGTTATACCTCAGCTGGGTTAGCCCCCCATATCAACATTTTTGAACAATACTTATGCGGTTCGTTAGATCTATGCAGTTGAGGGCAGCTCTCATCTGACTCTGTGGAATCTTGCTCTTGAGGGCCAGGAGACAAACACTATTCTGGCGGCGATCGAGGGGTGCAAGGTAACGCAACCACTAAGATTGACTATCTTGCGGCTGAGTGCACTTTGATTCGTCATGACCTGGATAAAATCCGCTCTCGTTTAACTACTGCTGAGACTCAAGTGTCGGAGTTGGAAGATGCAGTGCATAGCCATGTCACTTTGCTGACTGATCTACAACATACTGCGCGTATCCTTGCTGCCAAAGTGGATGACATAAAGAATCGCATGAGGAGGAATAATGTCCTGATTGTGGGCCTGCCAGAAGGGGATGAGGGTGCTCATCCTGCTCACTTCGCTGAATCCTTGTTCCAGAAGGTGCTGGAATTGGACTCTCTCACTCCTGCTTTTGTAGATGAGCGGGCCCACCGAGTCCACACGAGAAAGGTTCTACCTGGTACCCCTCCGCAGCCTTTCCTGGTTTGCCTCCTAAATTACAAGGACATGGGATCAGGTCCTGGCTGTGGCCCGAAAATGTCCTGTCTCTGTCATGGCAGTGCACAGCTATGCTTTTTTCCAGACTTTTCTGCTGAGATCCAGGAGAGGAGGAGATCGTTTGTGGATGTCCGCTGCAGACTCAGGGAGAAGGACATACAGTACGGTATGTTCTATTCGAGCAGACTGCCGGTTCAGCATTCCGGTTTAGTTCATTTTTTTGACACTCCGGCTTTGGCAGGGGACTGGCTGGAAACTCTGTGGTGACTGGTTTGATTCTTATTTTTTTCTTTTTTTTCTTTCTCTACAGTATTAGTGCCTAGTCTTATTGTACTGTCTGGCTGGCACCTCTTTATGCCTGGGGAAATATGGATCTGGGTCCCATGTCTGCTACTATAACCCAAGCTTGTTTGAGTTGCAATTATGTTGTTTTTAGATACCGTGGTTTTTCTCCTATCTGGATGACGGATGCTGGGGTGTACTTTATGGATATTGGCCTTGTATCCTTTCGGAAATAGTGACTCCTACTGGATTTCCTTTTTTCTTCCTCTTTTTTTTTTGCAGGGACACTTCTTTTTTGGTGGTGATCAAATAACTGGTTAGGGTTCTGGGTCTGAACTTCTAGTTAGTTTTATTGTTAAACCCATGCGTTCTAGTGGATATTTTGTGTTCTATGGTTTGGGGGGTTGTGTGTCGTTGTTCTGGGCGTTAGATACGGTAAGATCAAGTGGTTTTAACATTAGTTCTCACATATTTAGAGAGAAATATGGATATTTGTTATTAAATAAGGGGGCTAGCCCGCCCATATTACATTTTCTGGCAAAAAAAAACAACATTCAGACTAAAAGAGCTTTGTTAAATCTGGTAAGAGCAAGTGGTTTTAAAGTTAGATCTCACATAATTACAGAGATGTTTCACATAAATATAGAGACATAAGGTTTTACATAAGAAAGGGCTAGTCCCCCCAGCACATGCAATTTTCTGACAAAAAGGCATTCAGGCTAATAGATAATTGTTACATCAAGTAATTTTTTCCATTAGACCTAGCATGCACATGGTGGTAGAAAGTAATGATCATAATTTAAATAAGAATAAAAGCACTTTCCTGGTGGAGCCTTTCCCTATTTAAGAGTTTACAATGGCAGTCAGCAACCTCTGCTTGTTGGAGTGCACAGCTTGGCCGTGCCGGACACTCTGCTGACCTTGGTTTCCACTGGCCATGCAACTGAGTGTTTCCCATCCACTGCCTCTTTCAGTGTTTCCACATCTCTTGTCTCAGGGTAAGATGGATAGGCACCAGGAAAGGAAAATTACAGGTAAGTTTGATACACTTGTCTGTTTTGTTACAGCTTGATAAGCTAGATGTTTTATTTAATCTAATTACAAAAAAGTCTATTAGCCTGAATGTTTTTTGTCCAGAAAATTTACTATAGTGGGGCTAGCCCTCCTTACGTGATACCAAATATCCCAAATTTATCTGTAATGCTTTGAGATCCAACGTTAAAACCACTTGATCTTACCAGATCTAATGAAGATCTATTAGCCTGAATGTTTTTTGTCCAGAAAATTTACTATAGTGGGGCTAGCCCTCCTTACGTGATACCAAATATCCCAAATTTATCTGTAATGCTTTGAGATCCAACGTTAAAACCACTTGATCATCCCAGATCTAACAAAGATCTAGTAGTCTGAATCCCTTTTTACCCAAAAAATTGCATGTGGGGGGTTAGCCCCCTTATGTAATATCACCTAATATCTTTGTTTTTATGTGAAATATTTATGTAATTATGTGAGAACTAACATTAAAACCACTTGACCTTACCTGATCTAATGAAGACGTATTAGCCTGAATTAAATTTTACCAGAAAATTGCATGGGGGGTTAGCCCCTCTTATGTAATACCAAATAACCAAAATCTATCTGTAATGCTTTGAGATCTAACGTTAAAACCACTTGATCTTACTGGATCTAATGAATATCTATTACCCTGAATGTTTTTTGTCCAGACAATTTACTATAGGGGGGCTAGCCCTCCTTACGTGATACCAAATATCCCTAATTTATCTGTAATGCTTTGAGATCCAACGTTAAAACCACTTGATCTTACCAGATCTAACAAAGATCTAGTAGTCTGAATCACGTTTTACCAAAAAAATTGCATGTGGGGGGCTAGTCCCCTTATGTAATATCACCTAATATCTTAGTTTTTATGTGAAATATGCACTTGATCTTACCAGATCTAATGAAGATCTATTAGCCTGAAATTTTTTTGGCCAGGCAATTGCATGTGGGGAGTGGGGCTAGTCCCCCCCCCCCAATAATCACTTAATAAGTCTATAATTATGTGAGATCTAACCAAACAACTAGTTGATCATACTTGATCTAACAAATAGCTTCCAAAATAGCTGTTTGGTCAATCTTTTGATAAGGCGGGCCTGATGACAGGTTAGCCCCCCCGAAAAAAACTGTTAATATCTAGCACACTGTACCACAGATCATACCTACATTGTGGTGTGAACGGGGCACATAGAACATAATTGTTTTCTATGTGTCCTGGTGGTGACTGGCATTGCTCAATTGCTAAAAAATGCCAGTCATCACTTTTGGTGTGAACAAGTCCTAAATAATGTATATTCTACCATCTTAGATTACATGAATACTTGTATTCTATTGTTCTTTAGCAAAAATACAATTTTGTCTAAGTTTCACAAGTTTTTTTACTTGTCTAATGTTACCTGGTGGAGCGACATTTCAGGCAGCAAAAAGGCTAGGAACACCCCTGCACTGTACTATATACAAAAACATACTGTACATACAATCTAAAACTTACAGACAAACATCTACATATCATTTTTATTATAAATATAAACGTACACACAAACAAGTCTGCACTATACATAAAGCTAAAGACAACATGCTTTCTATGTCCTTTAGTTTCTAGTGTCTGTGTTCCTGCATAAAGAGGAAGAGCCTGGTGATGCTGCTGTGTGTGAGTTATGGCAGAGTTAAAAGACTGTAGGAAGTTGGGTGGAAGCTCTTGGGAGCCATCAAGAATGTGTAGGCCCTGGACAATAGCCCAGGTTGCCTCCCCAAATGCTGGACCTTGGGCCAGACTTTGTTTTTTGAGTACAGCGGACACAGACACAGTTGCAGTGCTGGGGTCCATTAGACCTGTGACACTTACATACTTTTGGCCTGGATGACAAAGGGTTGCTTTTGAGGCAAAAGGATGTAATACTACTTTAATCTGGTTTTGTGCCCACAGTTGGGCTTTAAGCTTATCATATTCACACACAGTATAGTTTTAAAACTTTGTATAACGGTAAACCATGTAGTTTTAATTTTTCTTGTATTTTCTTGTGTGTTTTTCTTTATCCCCAGATGTCCAGTTTCTTAGTCATGATGGTGGTCATGGTAACTATGCTGTCCCTTGGTGCCTATTTAAAACCCTTACCCAAGGTATAGCTTGATTTTCTCTTTTATTCTTTCCATAGCAGTTCTTTCAGGTGTTTGTCAATCTGTTTGTTATGCCTATGTGTAGAAATACAGTAGTTTATTTACACATGCATTGCTTTAATCCTCTATTTTGTTTTCTTCACATTGTATTGTATAATGCTTAAGTCTATGTTGATTTGCCTTTAGGCTGTCCTAGGAGCCTTGATAGCCGTGAACCTTAAGAATTCTCTAAAGCAACTTGCTGATCCTTTCTACCTTTGGAGTAAAAGCAAACTTGATTGTGTAAGTTTGTCAATAGTTTTAATATCCCTACTATTTGGCTGTACAAATGTAGCCTCTCTAATTTGACAAAGCAGCAAGTACTTAAAATTCTGCTTTAAAACAGTCAGAGGGGAATTTATAAAAACTGGAGCAGACAAAATCTGGAGCAGTTGTGCATGGTAACCAATCAGCTTCTCTCTTTAATTTTCAAATCTTAACTCAACAAACTGAAGCTGAACAAGCATGCACAACTGCTCCAGTCTGCTCCAATGTATGCAGGAGTACAAACACAGGAAGTTTTCTGCAACATGAGTGTTTGAGCCATGCCCGCAGTCTAGTTCAAGAAAATTGAAGCTTGCAACCTTGCTTTGTCCCTGAAAACTTTCAAATACACTAGCAAACAGTTTAAAATATAACGGCCAATAAAATAACTCTTAGTTCTTCTGGTCACAAAGGCTTAATTGTAACAGGTTATTATAATAAAGCAAATTACTATTTATGAAAGAACATAGGAATGCATAGTTTATGTTCTGTAATGTTGAAGAATTTTGCAGCTTATCCAAGCCATCTCTTCAGTTCAAACGAGCGTCAGGAACATACACCAACTTTCACATTAATCCAGTCACCATCAGGTGCAGACCCAGAATCTAGTCTCGGGAGGGGCACTGCCAGAAAATAAGCTCTATTAATAATAATAATCCCCAGCTCTTCCACTGCTAGTGTGCCGATCTCTCTCCCCTCGTACCCCTGCCTCTGTGTCCACTACCCCCCCCCTCCCCTCTCTTTTCCACTGTGCCCATCTCTCTCCTCTTCCACTGCCACCTATGTGTAGACCGCGCCCCCATCTGGCTCTTCCTCTGCTACTGTGCCACCCCTTTCCTTTCCCAACTCCTCTGTGACCACTGCCCCCCGGCTCTCCCCCCGGGGTACTGCACACTCCCCCGGCCTCTATTTCTGGAATCTTTCCGCCACCCCCAGCCTTGGCTCAGCATGGGCTGAGGCGGCCGCCTAATTTGCCTGACTACAGTACAGCCTCTGCTTTGGGTCTCGCTTGTTCGGTGCAGCCGGCCGGGCACCAGCAGAGCTGCGGAGAGAGGGAGCGATAATTTTCTCCTCAAGACACTAACATTAAGGCATATGTCATAACACCCATATCTATAGATTAAATAAGCTAATATATTAGGTATCAAATAATTAGGGGAAATAAGGTAAAATCATTATTTTGTGATATCCTGAAATATTCACATTTGCTAAAATGTGCTTGATTATAGAAGTTTAGACTTGGCATGTAGCTATCAATATTTATTTGGAACTAAAATGATGATTCAGATGCTGGGGGTCCAGTGAAACAAGTAAGAGAGGTTGCTAATATTTTTGGTGTTTGCTTTTACATTAATTTTTCATTGCTAACCAAGGTTTGTTTAATGTCCCTGTAGTGTGTCTGGGTTGTGAGTTTTCTCTCCACATTCGTCCTTGGTCTTCCTTATGGAGTTGCTGTTGGTGTGGGCTTTTCTGTCTTGGTTGTCATATTCAATACACAATTGTGAGTATTTTTTTTTTTACTTTAGCTTTACTTCTCAGATAGATAGATAGATAGATAGATAGATAAATATACAACATGGCAAAATGTATATCAGATAGTTAGTAGTAATATAGAAAGCATGTACAGACATTAATTCTCATATGAGAGATAATACATGGCACAAGACAGGTCAGTTCCATTTTGTTATTGTGCAATGAATATAAAATATCCACAGGAATTCTGCAGGTTGCTAATCAATCATGGCCTTTCTGACACATGGCAAGAATTGAACCTCTTGCCACATTGCTACACCTATTTTTTACGCACCACAATACTCATCATAGAACAGAACATATACAGTATTGACAATGCAAAATCTCACCGCAAATAACTATAACAACAAATCAACAGTTGCTTGGTCAGACCACAACCTAAAGATCCTCCTATGCCACCTGTTTAAACACTACACCCCATCTTGACTACTCAGTGACTTCCTTCTATATCATCCTGATATTAGTAGATTTATTGAAGTACCCCATGTCAAAATAACTTCTTGATTTACTCTAGACAAGACTGTGGGAAACCCATAAGTCAGTCAAAATAGACCACTTTATTCAGATTAAAAACGGCATTGCAAATGCAAAAAGCACAGGAGAAACTTGGAAATGTAGCTCAACGCTAAATTCAGAACTTCAAAGCACAACCTACTCCTCACTTATGCCAACAGTTACGTATCCCAAATTCAGCAAAAAACGTAATCTCTGCCTGCCTGACAGATATAGGGCAACTTCAAAAGAAGAAATTACTTCAATTATCATTCATATAGGTAGTGAGAGGAAAGTGATCATGCAGAGTGCTCACTGGTTACCCTCCAGTGGGTACCTAGAAAGTCACCAAAAAGCATATACTAACTGAAAGAGTGCCATGCCAAAGGAGTCTAAATTGATTTATTAATTCATACCCAAAATTCCAATGCCCTTAATTAGGGCTACAACAAAATAAAACCTAAGTATCGAAGACACACTAATGATATGTTTGTCTCTGTGCTGCAATTATAACATTCATGCTTTTGGTGTATTCTGTGAGATACGTCCCTTTAATTTGGACTTCAAATTTTAGTATGGATCATGGAAAGTAAATTAAAGACAATGTTACAATGGTAGTGGGCAGAATGCTACTAATGTTAAAATCTATCATGAAACATGTTTGAAAGTACACCCCCCAAATATGCTTTTAATATTTTCTATGGGGAAATGGCTTAGAGAAGTAGTTTTATTTTTCACAGCTTAGTCACCTAACTCAAACAGTGTATGTTGCTTTTTATTCCATGCTTCTGCATGATGTGGAAACAAAGTTACAGAATTTGACACCTCACACCTCATTATTCCTGACCATGCTCCGCAAAGTAGATGGCCTCTTGACTGATGGCTCTAATCTCACTGGGCTGATTCATGTGAGTGTGTTTCCTCTCTTAGCATTCCTGTTTGACCTTGCTTGTGCATGGAAAGCACTGACACAGTAAGATTAAGGTTGCTAATCAAGAGGCCATCTACTTTGCAGACCATGGTCAGGAATGAAGAGGAGTGAAGTGTCAAAGTCTGTAACTCAGCTTGTACTGCACACAGAAGTATGAGATAAAAAGCAGCATACACTGTGGGAGGAAGGGGAGTGATCTGTGAAAAATAATACAAGGCAAGACTTCTTTGAACAAAAAGTTAACGGTAACTCTAGATAGAAATCTACAGTTTGATGTGCTCCATTGTTCATCATAATCTTAACAGAAAATATTAGGATGTTTTGCTAAATAGATAGATCACAGCCCTAAATAAACACAAAAGAAAACTTTTTACATCTATATTTCTTGCCACTAGGCAAACGATCACTAGAGCCGGGAAACATCTGTCCTTGTACCAGGAAGAATTATTATTATTCTAAATTTCTTAGGGTATGGTTCCCCAGATTGCATGTATCCAACCAATAGGTCTAGCTTGCATGTTCCTGTAGATGTAAATACCAAATGTGCTACATGCCAGTTCCCCAATCTCTAACCCCCCTCCCCCCCCGGCCTTTTTTGTTTTTGACCCTTTTTCATACTTTACTTAATTCTTCCCCACTCATTTTCTAAAATCTGCCCCTCTGCCCTTTTTCTATATTACATTAATAGATGCCAACAATATATGCCAACACTCCCCAACTGCTCAGCAACCCCTAACTGAGGGGTATACCCATCCATACCCACCAATGCCTCGGTGGGTTGGTTATCCAAACTTTTTATCAAAAAGATAATGTGCTAACACTATAAATTGCCTTACTATTTTTGTTCTTGTTTGTAAATTGTAATTGATGCAGTAATATACTGTAATAGGTTTTTTTCTCTAATGTTTAGTAAACACTAGAAGAACAATCAAGCTATTTGCTAACTGGTTTAAAAGCACTTCTGTCATATATTATATTCTTCCATGTCAGAAAAGTTAAGGATTCATGTTAAAGTTAACTGTGAACGAAGCACAAGTATTTACTAATAAATTGTTATGTGTATTTTCTCTCCTGTGTCAGTCGAAATGGATCAGCATTGGGTCAGATTTCTTCTACTGATATATACAAGAACCCCAAAGAGTACAGCAAGGTAGAGTAAAACAATTTTAACTATTTGCCTTAATTACTTATAGTAAGAGTATATTTTTTCTAAATGCTCTCTCTAAGTAAATCTAATTTGCCACAGTCAGTCTGATATTTTTATAATCAACTCCTTTTTACATTTTAGTAACAAATGTACTGTATACATCTTATGTATTTTTAGAGTCAGAGGCAGTGCTAGGATTGTGAATGGCCTGGGGGCACCTTAAGGAGAGGAGTGGCATGCATAACATAGCGTGGCGAATGGTAGAAGTGGCCGAATTGTGATAAAATGTGGGAGGTGCTTAAAGTGGCATGGTTAAATAAAACCTAAGCTCCTCAGTTTATAGGCTGCACACATATGCTACAGTCCTTTTACCCACAATAAATGCTTCACTGTTGAAAGCGAGAGTCACACAGGCACAATCATCTCTTCCATTACATATGCTTGTAGGGGTCAGTGCAACACACAGTGGGTTAGGTCAGGGGTGTGTAATGTACAGAGTGCAAGGTTTAGGAGTGTGTAACACACAGAGAGTAAGGGTCATAGGTGTGCAACTCACAAAGTGCAGGGGTCAGGGGTGAGTAACACACAGAGTGTGGGGTGCAGGGGTGTGTAATGTACAGAGTGCAGGGGTCAGGGGTGTGTGTAGCATACAGAATGTAGAGATCAGGAGTATGTAACACACAGATTGCAGAGATCTGGGGTGTGTGTAATGCACAAGTGCAGGGGCTAAACAAATATCACACTCCCAGAACCCCCACACACAAATTCCCCTATCAAGTGTAAATCCTTCAGAAGTGCAAATCTACCCCCAAATCAAAACAGCCCCGGCACAACTTCCTGCCTCTCTTCTTGACTCACAATAGCTCAGGCTCAGTGACACTTAGCACATTATGAACCTGAATCTTGAATATCGAATAAAGATCCATATATTCCTATCTGCAATAAACCTGAAACAAATTATGGTTCAAACCTGTGTCATGAACTCTCCAAGACCTCTTGGAGTAACTATAATGGGAACATGTAAAGGTTTTATGACCATGACCATCTGGTAGCATATGTCAAAGGTTATCCTGTACCTTGTCTTGTTGTTCATAATGTATGTGATTGCTAATGATCATTATGTGTGTGCTCCCAACACTGTATAAATAGCTCTATTGTAGAACATGCAGAGGGGCATTCTCCTTGGAGTGTCCCATATGATTGTGCTAATAAACATCCTTGTCATCCCATCGTAAGAGAAGTGGTGTTGACTGAATTCCACAACAATTGAGGGGAAGTTTTCCAAGGATTCCCCTCAACCTTGTCTTAACAGAGATGAGGAGGCGCCTAAGAAAGTTTCCCTCAGCTCTTCAATATGCTGATGGGTCTGAGGTCTGACAGGTGGCGAAGCTGTTGCAAGACATGTGGGGCATCTGTCCTGGGTGCCCACTGTTAGCGAAGCTCATGTTCAGAATTGTGTTTAAGCAAAGGTGCTGCTATATGTACAGATTTGTGAGACAACACCCATCTTTACTCACTGTCTAAACTATTTTTTATTTTATTTTTTTAGGTACAGTCTATTGATGGTATTAAAATTGTCAATTACTGTTCCCCGTTATACTTTGCAAATTCAGAAATATTTCGACAGAAAGTCATCAAGAAGGTAAACTATTCCATTAACCTACATGACAATTTTCTATTGCTGAAAGTGGATGGAAAGCAAAATAACACTCCACTCTAATATTAAGTTCACCAGCCTATACTAGAAGTAGAACCAAATTTTGTTACTTCCAAGCTTTGGTGTTGGTGTTACTGACCAAATGCACCCAGATGCGGCTCTAGAGTTTATGAGGCATTAGGGGAAACTAAATAGACGGACAGGTGCCTTGTAGATGCGGGTGGGCGTTTTAAGACGTCCTTCCCCGCCCCCACTCGCACGCAGCACCCCAACCCGCTGTGCCCAGTGCGGGCCGGGACCAGCACATCGGCTCTGTCACCAGAGGTCAGAGAAAGCTCAGTCTTTGATCTCCTCTCCAGTGTCAGAATGCAGAAAGTGATGTATATTACATCACTTCCGCATTCAGCTGTTATTCCCGGCTACACAAGCCAGAGAGAAGCTGGCAAAGCAGATCTCTGCTTCATCAGCTTCTCTGGGGGTCGCTAGGTGACATTAGGGGTCTTGGATGTCTCTATAAAGAGGACCTGTCACTTAACCCCCTATGTGATAGCAACGTTGTGTTAAAAGAAAAAAAAAAGCATGAAATTGTCCAAAGCGTCTTGGTATGTTGAGAGTTCCCTTCATTGGAACTTAGGAGCCAAGCCCAACCTCTGAAAGACAACCCCACACCATAGCTGAGCAGCTGCATCCAAGCCTTACATCACCAAGTGCAATGCAAAGCGTCGAATGCAGTGGTTTAAAGCGGAGATGTGTTCTCTGGAGTAATGAATCACGCTTCTCTGTCTGGCAATCCGATGGATGTGTCTGGTTTGGCGGTTGCCAGGAGGAGTGTGGGGTGCATGAACTTGACTAGCCTGCTCAGAGTCCTGACCTCAACCCAATAGAACACCTTTGGGTTGAATTAGAGTGGAGACTGCGAGCCAGGACTTCTCATCCAAAATCAGTACCTGACCTCACAAATGTGCTTCTGGAAGAATGGTCAAACATTCCCATAGACACACTTCTAAACCTTGTGGACAGCCTTCCCAGAAGAGTTGAAGCTGTTATGGCTGCAAAGGGTGGGCCAACTCAATATTGAACCCTACAGACTAAGACCGGGATGCCATTAAAGTTCATGTGCATGTAAAGTCAGGCGTCCCAATACTTTTGGTAATATAGTGTATGTTTGAGCTACAAATAGTTATATTTATGCAACATTCTTTAATTTGTTTTTTTCCATTTGCTAGACTGGGCTGGACCCCAACAAGGCCTATCTGGCGAAAAAAAAGTACCTGAAAAAGCACGAGAAGGAAGAAGAAAAAAGACAGAGAGGATCTGTGTTTATGAAGAGTAAGGTAAGCCTATAACTTTGGCAATGTACACCATTGATACCAGTCCTTGGGATATGCATTGATTTTAAAAGAGTGTTTCTGAGGCCATAAATTCAGGTGGAAGTATTTTCATGAAATATATTTTTACTGTGACTATTAAACTGACTTTAAAACTATAAAAAATACAATTGTGATGTGCACAGGGCATCAACGAACAGCTCTATGAGAGCAAACGTTTAATTAGATTCAAGCTCAGAGTGATATCAAAGTCAAAATGTTTTTAAGCTATTTCAAATGCGGATTAAATCACTTACAATCAATTAGTGTGTGCTAATAAGTTGTGTGCTTCTCCACAAATGCACAGGCACAGAAAGGCAAGGCACCCCCTTGCTTTCTTCTTCCCCTTCTGCCACCTAGTAGATGGACAGCTGTTGGTGACTGTCCTGTCCCCTTGTGATCTTGTACTGGACAGGAAGTTCAGGGAAGGCAAGCTGAGAGAATTGGAGCCACCTGAGATCACAGGTATAAAAACACTCAGCGGTCAGTAATCGCTAAATGTTTGTAAATAACTGAACATAGTATGACTCACCATGTACAGGTGAAACTCGAATAATTAGAATATCGTGCAAAAGTAATTGCAGTAAGTTCTGCAAAAGGGGCCCAAACCAAGTACTGAGTACATATGCATGCTTGTACTTTTCAGAGGTCCGATATTGTTCTATGTACAATCCTTGTTTTATTGATTGCATGTAATAATCTACTTTTTTGAGGTTGTGGATTTGGGGTTCTTGGGTTTTTCATGAGCTGTAAGCCATAATCATCACAATTATGACAAATCACGGCTTGAATTATCAAGTTATGAATGAATAGGAAGTGATCTGCATCACTTCCTTTTCATTTACGATTGTGTAGTGCCCTCTGCTTTGTCGCTACTAGATTTAGTGTTATATCAGGACTGTAATCAGTCTGGATGCCGATTGCTCTGAGATCTGCCGGTATCCCTAAGTTTGGTGGATTGATTGATTCTACCGGTTGCTCGGTTGGGGCCCCAGCATACAGTGTGGGAGAATCAATCCTCAGACTATGAATATGTATCTGACTCTGACCAATCCCTGAGCAGGCTCACTCAGAGGTATGGCTGGAGAAAGGTGATAAATATTTGGGAGCACTTTCCAGAACTCTCCCTGGGGTTTCTCCCTGGTAGGTCATCTGTGTGCTGCAGGATGCCTGGCCCAGATGCTGGGGACCCAGAGCCATAAGATTTTACTGAGAAGAAACCTGATGAAAGCTGGGCTGCAGGAAGAATCTGCTTACTGAGGAGTGTCACAGAGTAGCTGGTGACCCTGTAAGAGATCTCTCACCCTATATTCAGATATTATACAGATGAGAAGCCAGTTGGTGCACTGCAAGTCCTGTGACTGTTCTCCCTCAAAGTCTTGAACTTTTCCCTGGTGAAACAATCTATTCCGCTCACTCTCCCCCTTTAGGGCCTGCTGCTACCGGTTACTACTGTTGCTAATAGTGAAGACACTATCCTCTATTTTTGTACTTTGGTTATCCTGCAACCCAAACTCTCCCTCCTAGTTGATACTGAGCAAGAAATACTAAAAAGACCCCACAACTCAAGCCTCTTCTATCCTAGAAGTGTCGGTATTGCTGGAGCTAAGGAAAAGAGCTGGCATCTAACAGGCAGGAGAACCCTAACTCATATCCAGTGGCTCCTTCAGGGGGTGATTGCTACAATTGTGTACATAGTAAAAACTTTATTCAGTTTATGAATGAACAGGAACACTCAGTATAGAGGATTCTTGTTCATTTATAACAGTGGATGCAGAAAAAGAGATTGAGGAGTTTTTAGTCTCTATTTTAAAAGGGTCAATATGGCCGACGTACATTTTTTTTTTCAATGTGCAGTTTCAGATTCGGAGGCTCATTGCCTACGAATACGAAACTGCGTAATAATTCATTTTGTCCAAAACTTTATGCTGTACACATCTACTATATTGTCATAATACTTTTGTTATCTTACTGTTCAAGAATACGGAATAATAAAACCGTCCTGTTTTTGTCATCCCAATGTCCCGTTTTTGGATCAAGGAAATATGGTCAGCCTATTCAGAGGCTCAATACATATCTGCAACAACTTTGCTTACTTGACCTCAAAATCCTGGTCTCCTTATTGACAAGAGCTCACAGACTTTATAAACCAAAACACTTTCTAGATTTAATCCCTAGGGATGTTTTAACCAGAATCGACTTCTTTCAGAAAAAAAAATATGGTTGTGGTAAAGAAAACAGCCCTTTATGCTCAGATAATTTTTTTTTTTACTGTTTTTCTGACATGTAGGCAGCTACTGCCCAGAGGCATAAGGAATTTGCCTACATTACCAGGGTTCTCAAAGATGACACAATATCCTAAAAGGGGACTACCCATAAATTTGCTTGGCTACTTGCTACTAAGACAAGATAATCACCATTCTAACACCTCACAATGGGATGGTGCTAAGAGGCTCTAAGGATGGTCATCTTTTTTTCCACCCCTAGACCCATGCCCATATGAGACATTGCTTCTCACATCTCTATGGAGTGGCCCACAGCCTGAATTACTCTTTGAATTCTACAATACTAAACGGGTGTCACTGCCTTACGCTACAAGATAGTGCCAGGACCACATTACGGAGATCCCAGCCCTGAAGCCTGGTATAACTTGCTCTCATTCCCCCAGTGTTGGGTTTGTACTACAGTTTTTTTTGCCTGTTTATTTTCTTTTACTTTATCTCCAGCCAATTTCTTGTTACCAGTTTGACTGTTCATATGGTCTCATTAAGCATTATGTCATTGAAAAAAAACAACTGCTCTTCTGGTTGGGCCTCTCTAGCCTACCTGGGGCTGTTATGGCATTCACATGCATTTCTACCGATACGCTACGATATTTAAGATAAGCTCTTAAATGACTAAGAGCTTAATAGACCACTTAAACATTCCCTACTATGGCGAGAGGCCTGTGCCCTTAAATTGTGTACAAGAAACTCGTTTTTACAAAGACAAACACCCCCCCTTCGTAAACCCAGTGATGACTCTGTTTCTTTGCCAACTTTGATTGGAAAAATAAAATGGTTATGATAGCATAAAAAAATTGTCGGCTTTCCAACTGCATGATGTTCTCACGAATCCCAATGACAGATACATCATTTTTCGTAGCCTCTCTCAATGATAACATAGCTACTATTGCTAACTTACAGTATATTCCACTATTATTAACCAAAATAAATTTCTAACCAGCTTAATACATAAGATTGGTTCTATACACAAGACTGCCTCTGCCTATGTAGAGATTTTAATGAAATTATCAACACAGAACTGGACACCTCCAACAGAGGTAGGTGCCGCAACCTCACTATACCTTATTTTCCTTTTATACTTTAGACCACCTCCATGATGAGTGGTGATGCCTGCAGAGCAAAGAAAAGGACTTAATTTATTTTCCCATATGCAGCTTACATATCCAGACGATATGTTCCTGGTAGACAAATTCACCCTTTAACAGATCTGGAAGGCAGAAATAGATTGAATTACTTGAATGGATCACACTTCTATTCAATTGACTTTTTCTGACCCCAACCTCACTCTTCTACTGTTTGGAGGATGAACACCAGCTTACTCTCCAACTCGAAATACAAGGAACATATTAGATCTGAAATATTGTCTTTTTTTCCAAGTCAATTCTGTATCAGTACAGGTTAATATATTGGTATGTAATGCCCATAAAACTTTTGTTAGAGGTTTACTGATAAGGAGCTTACCAGAATAAAAGGTGTAAACATTACCCGCTTGATATTATTGATCAGATTTGTAACTTAGAAAAGGGTAATAAACAGCAGTATGACACCAAAACTACTGAGAAACTCCTGGGCCTTTGCATCAAACATAGTCTACTCCTCACCTCCCAATATGATTTTATGTGGAAACTAATGAAACTCTTATTCTATTCCCAAGGGAATAATGCCAGGGCCTTTTTGGCTAAACAATATAAACAAACATCGAATGGAAAAGACTAGAATCCCTTTCCTGAGTCCCCAATCCCCTTGATATAGGATATTGCTTTAGTTCATTTTATTTCTCTCTGTATAACTTGAAAAACTCTGTTAATGCCCTTAATCCTACACCAGCAGATTTCCAATGCTTTCTTGGCTCCCTGAATGTCCTTAAGGTTTCCTTTGACCAACTAACCACACTAACAAAACCTCTTTCATTGGCTTAAGTCACAAAAATACTTTTTAGCCTTCCTCTGCATAAGAACCCAGTTCTGGATGGCTTTAGCTCTTCATACTACAAAACCTTTTCAGATACTTTTGCCCCTCACCTGCTAACGACACAGCTACTTCTGGCCATTTCCTTAAAGAGTCACATGCAGTGCTCATAGTTACAATTCCAAAGCCTAACAAGCCTGCTTAAGACCCAGCAAATGGAGATCTGTGTTCAGAAGAGATATGGGTCTATAAAGTTCATGCCAAACTGATAGCCAACAGACTGCGGTTCATTATCCCTTACCCAGCCCCTGACTGTTAAAATCTGACCAAGTTGGGTTTGTCTTTAGATGTCAAGCCCCGGATGGACCCATGAATCTTCTCCAATGGGTGAAACATTCCTGCATACCTTCCCTGCTACTGTCCTTAGACACAGGGAAGGCCTTTGATTGGGTGCACTGGGAATACCTGAAAGCAGTTCTGAAAAATTGGCCTCACAGGCTTTTTTGGTTCAGCCATTGATGTTCTGTACACCAATCCCAGCACCGGAGAATGGGCGTCTGGTCTACTGTCTGTCAATGCAGATGTCCCATTGCACACCAGACTGGTGTATCCCCGGTTATCTCCTTGTGGGTGCTGTAGTGGCAAGTGGAGTGTGCCACCAGACCAAGGAAGTGAGTCACCAGCACACTGTCATCTTCATCATGAAAAACAGCTTTATTGGTGTTAATCAATCATATCTCATCACAGAATAAAGCAACATTTCGAGATCAAGCAGGGTCCCTTCATCAGGCAATATGGTCTACTGTCTGCTCCATTCAGTATTACTAATAGTACTAGACAGGGCTGTACTGTCACCACTGATTTTCGCATTGGTTAATGAACCCCTGGTGGAGACGACCCATGCATGCACTGCTGTCACTGGGCTCAAGGTTGGTGGTGCAGAGTATAAAATAGGATTATATACAGATGATTTAACATTTTCCTCAACTGACCCCATGCATTCTCTCCCTGTAGTGCAAGACATTTTGACCAACTTTGGAAACATCTCCTTGTAAAGTCAATAACTCCAAATCTCAAATCCTAGCAATCAATTTACTGTATCAGCTGCATGCTAGTGTTACTCACATTTTCCCCTTCTCGTGAGCTTCTGTTGTTTCCCTGAAGTACTTAGATATTATATGGACTTCCCTCAGCTTTAGACAATTCCATATCAAATATATCCCACTTCTAAACAAATTCAAAGACCTTTGCAAGGATTTACAATGTACCCCAGCTTCCTGGGCTGGAAGGATCACAATGGAAGGATCATGATTGTCCTCCCCACATATCCTCCACCTGGCCTGTGCCTTACCCATACTTATTTTACCACTAACCCTCGAACTCCAACAGACAGTGAATTCCTTTATATGACTGGAAAAAAATATGAATCCCTAGGCCCTACTTATATGATCTGAGATTTCAAGCACGCATGGGGTCCTCTGGCGTAGTCAAATACTATAAAGGCTACATTCTAGAACAGGCTAAGCAGTGGTGGGTCCCATCTTCTGATAAACTGTGGCAAACTCCAAAAAAATATGTGCTATCTATATAAGTCTTAATACCAGGAAGTCTTCTTTAGACACTGTCACGACCACTGTCACGACCACAACAGTCAGTCAAACAGGTTTGGAACTCTTTGGCAAAAGCCTCCCCTCTTTCTGATCTGCATATCCTACAGTACATTCTGCTGCATATCCTACAGTACATTCTGCTATCTACCACAGACACTCTTTTCATGGATTTGCAGCTAGTCTCCTGGAAAGTTTTAGGCATCCATCACATTGGGGATCTTTATGCCAATAACCGCCTTGACTCAGTTGAAGAACTACATCAAAAATACTTCCTTCCACACAGAAACTTCTACAAGTATCTTTGGCTCAGGCATTATCTCTCTACTTTGCAAGAGACAATCATTATAATCAGGAAAATCTTATCCTTTCTCAGAGACTGTGAACCTACCCAAAAAGGTATCTCCTACCAACATGCTGTCTGGCTTACACTTCTCTGGCAAGTTACCATCCATGGAATGTTGGAAAAAGAACTAAAACTTTTGCTGACTGGCGAAAAATGGAACTGTACTGTACGTTGGCCTCTGAAAGTGTCCAAATGCATAAACCACTGGGAATCACTTCAGAGGCTTCTACACAAATGGTGCTATACCCCTCAGAGACTTGCAATGATTTTTCCAACCCACTCTCCACTGTGTTGGATGAATTGTGGATATGTAGGCTCTGTCACATTTGGTGGTCCTGCGAGAGACTTTAAATATTTAAAAAAAGAGAATTTACTCAAGAGACAAATCCATAATTCTACCACCATACAAAACACTTGTTGGGCCTTATCTTGAGTATGTGGTTCAGTTTGGGGCACCGATACACAGGAAAAAGGTTCTTTAACTTGAGAGTCCAGAGAAGTGCAATGAAATTAATTAGAGGGCTGGATGACCAAAGCTTTGAGGAAAGATTACAAACATTTAAATAAAATGTTGTTCACTGATAACAATTTTAGTTTTCCTTTTTGTTTGCTGGTTTGTTTGGTTGGGAGATTTATTATGATGTGCCCATATCTACTGCTAAATAGCTTAAAATTCACTTGAGCAACATAGCTATCACAGAGCTCACTGAGCCTTGTCTACTACACTTGTACCATTGCTATGGTTTTCTCCAAGTGATGATATGGGTACACTAGACTTCACTTGCATTTTTTTTAAAGGCTTTGCTTTCTTCGTATAAATCACAGCTAAACAGGCCATATGTTCATGTGATAATAGTTATTATAATAGGCCATCATTTATAGCAACAAATGCATGCTTTTATGAGAATTAATTTATGACCAGGTAGGTTACTTTCAACATGCAAATCACATCATTACTAATCTTCACAATCTTCAGCTTCATCTCTTAACTATATGTCCATATTGCAGACTTTGTCACTCCAGGAACTTCAGGAGGACTTTGATGGTGTCCCTTCCACTGACTCCAACAACAACAGCACTGTGAATGGGACAAACAGTACAAACAGTACAATCAATTACATAGCATCTAACACCCTAACTGTGAGTTCTCAAATCTCAGCTCATATTCCAAATGGTGCGTCAGCCCAAGCTAAAACAGAAGATCCTATCATGACAGCTCCTCCGATTGTCAACTTCCATACGATCATTATTGACATGAGCGCTGTGTGTTTTGTTGACCTAATGGGAATCAAAGCATTAGGAAAGGTATTACATTATTTTTTTACTCTTGTAAAATGATGCATTTTGAAAATTCACATATGGTTTTAGAATATATATGTGCAAACCTATAAATTGTACACTTTAGATTAAATTTTAGAAAAACAGAGATCCACATTAAGAAAGTTAGTCTTTTTACAGTTTTGTAGATGTATATTTAATGCAGGTTAATATAAGTAAACCCTAATTTTTAAACATAGTTTGGGAATAGATTATGTACATAGGAATAGGCATGCTTTTGTAAGTATGCCTAGTACCTCACTTAGCTAATTAGTGCTTTACTAATGGCTATAAAGATTACAGGCCCAGATTAGCAGGCATCTGTTTGCTTTGGAATGTTGAGATGGCCTAAACAAAATTCAACCTATCGGTGTTAGGGCAGACTGTTGTGATTTGAACTAAGATTTTCAGCAAAATGTGGCGACGATGGAATTTTCAAATCAATATTCAGGTGCTATGACAGTAATACCATCCCAAAGATAACAAGCATGACAAGACATTCAACTCACCCCCACCTCTCTCCTCTGTAATGGCCCATATGATTAAGGCACCTCCCATGTGATTACAGTGCATGCACTATTTTGTCAACCGCAACACACAGTATTTGCGGTACCATGCATTGCGGAACGGCTGATCACACTGCGAAAGGTGCATTTGAGGTGCCATTCAAATGAATGTACTGTAATCGCACGGGAGGTGCATGGTACCGTACAATTAACGCATGGAGGTGGTGTGAAGAGGCTCTAAGGCAGGAGGAGGAGGGAAATCGATGGACAATCATTTTGGAGCTTAACATACTTTTTGCAGTGATGAAGAAACGCACCGCTCACCCCATACAAATGCACTGCTCACACTGCAGAAATGCACTGCTCAAACTATACATCCTCACTGCTCACACTGTAGGAATGCACTGCTCACACTGTACAAATGCATTGCTCACACTGCTGACAATGTACAAACACACTGCTCACGCTTTTAGTAACGTACCACTCACACCGTACAAACGCACCACTCGCACTGTAGTAACACACCAATCACACCACAGAAACGCACATCTCACACTGTAGAAACACACTTCTCACGCTGTACATCCGCACTGCTTACAATATTGAAACACACCACTGACACTGTACAAAATGCTCTGCTCAAACTGTAAAAATACACTGCTCACTTTCTATAAATGCACCACTCAAACTGTACAACTGTACTGGTCACACTGTACATTCACACTGTACAAATGCACCTGTCACAATCTGCACACAGACCACTTATTACATTGTGTTTGTGTGTAATACAATTATTTTATTATTGAGTTTATAAACATTTTTATGGCCAGAAATATAAATCATACACATATACACACTCTCTATATACATACACACAAACAAATATATATGGGTGTGATTATTTTTTTTTTCTCTAGAGATTGTTGTAAACTGGAAATAGTATTGGTAATTTAGAGCAGTATAGAGGACATTACAGTGATGGTAGCTCATAACAGTGCTTTAGTGAGGAGGAGGGAAGAGGAAGGAACCAGCAGTGAATAGGGGTGTGTGCAATAAGAGAGGTTTCCACTCTGCCTCATGGGAGTTGTAGGCAGAGAAAGCGGCGCATGTCACCAGAAAGAACGTGCACTGCTCCCAGTAGGTGACCGGAAGTGTGAGAAAGTGAAGAGCAGCTAGAGCATGCAGAAAATACTCTAAACAGATTAAAATAGTAAGACTTCATTTTAACACAAAAACAAATGCAGCTTTGAAGAATGTTCATTGTGCAGATGTGTGAGGAGCGAACAGCTGAAGTTTTTTCTTTAAAGAAAATGTAACACCAATAATGTATAAGTGTTCCACCTGCCAAAATGATCTTTTTTCTTCATAAAACTCACGTATATAGTGCCTTGTGAAAATAGTCACTCCCTTGGTGGTTTTACCTGTTTTATTGCATTACAATCTGGAATTAAAATTAATTTGGGGAGTTTGTACCAAGTGATGCACACAACATGCCTACCACTTTGAAGGTGCAAAGCACTTATTGTGACACCGACAACAACAACCAAATATGGCCACTGTTTTTCAGCTGCAAAGAGGCTTCAGTTGCCTTCCAATCACTGTTGTGAGAAAGATATGATTGTGTTCTTTGGACCAATCATGGATCCTCATGTGAGTGAATGGGAGAAACTAGGATATAGATGGATAGGCTGGAGCCAGCCACAGAAATTCACTGGGTAACTTTGACTGGAACAAAAAGGACAACAGTAAGCCATGACAAGAAGCCATTTTCCTGACAATGCTCATTTGCCACACTGTTCAATACGGAATTTGTAGAGCAGCAACAACCAAAGCTAAGTGACTTTTTAGTGTATCCTCTTATCATGGCCGGAGGGCCGAAGAGCATCACGGGACTGGTGCCGATGGTTCTGGTGGGCTTTTTTATGGAAATGGCCACTGTTACTGGGGACCTCTTCCTCTTGACCGGGCTGTGATTTGTAGTCTCTCTACAGCTTGTAGTCAGTGGTGGACCGCCAGGGCCCGATTGCAGCTGCGGCCCTGGTAGATCTGCCACTGACTCCAAGCTGTACGGGGACTTCAAATCTTAGCAATACATTATACAGCAATGCAGAATACCGCCAACTATATAGGACTACAAATCCCAGTAATACATTACACAGAAATGCAGAATTCCACCAGCTATAGAGGACTAAATCCCAGCAATAAATTATACAGCAATGCAGAATACCACCCCTAAGTACAGAGGACTACAAATCCCCGTAATGCATTACATAGCAATGCAGAATACCACCAGCTATAGAGGACTACAGATCCCAGCAATACATTGTTAAGCACTACAGAATAATATGAAGCTACATACTCTGTGTTCCTCCGAGTTCATGGCCCGATGTCCCCAGAGTCTCAGGGGAGCTGTGCAGGGTTTAGCGGGGCTGTGCAGGCTCTCAGAAGGCTGTTCAGGTTCTTAGCCTGGCCACGATTGGGGTCGGGTTGGCTCGGCCGGGCCTATTTGCAAGGGCGGGACTGGAGCAGGAGCTCCACCCGCCCCTATCTCTTATAAAAAAAACATTGGCAGCGTGTGCAGGTGCTGCATCCATGAACTACAAAGTAGTTCATGGATGCAGCATTTTTGTATAATGTAATTATGTTAAATACTACTTCTGTGTTCATTTCCTTGGTTTTACAACAATCAGGTAAAGAAATAGCTCTGAGAGTTTGCAAATCAAAACATGTGGCCACAAAAAAGTAATTGTTAAAAGAAAAAAAAATAATACATATTTGGAGTTCTCTAAAACAGCATGTGGCAGACTCCTCAAACATATGCAAGAGGGTTCTATGTTGAGATGAGGCTAAAACTGAGCTTTTTGTCCATCATAGGAAACATTGTGTGTGGCGTAAACACAACACTTCACATCACCCTGAGAACACCATCCCCACAATATAGCTTGGTGATGCCTGCATCATTCTTTGGGGATTCCTTTTATTAGCAGGCACTGAAAAACCAGTCCGGATTGAAGGGGAAATGGTTGAAACTAAATACAGGGCAATTCCTAAAGAGAACCCGTTTCAATCTGCCACAGATCTGAAACTGGGACAGAAGTTCTAAATACTAACTACAGAGGTATAGTCAATAGATATAGAGTATTCAATCTGTAATTGGATACAAAACTGGCTTAAAGACTGTATTCAGAGAGTTGCGATCAATGATTCATACTCTGAAGCAGATCTGAATGTGATTGGGCATCTATTTGGCAAATTAGGTTTATAGTTGATCAATGTAAAAGTTATGCACTTTAGGGGGAGTATGTTTGGGGGAGTCAATGGTGGAGAAAGATCTGGGTGTACTGGTAGACCATAGACTCAATAATAGCATGCAATGTCAAGCTGCAGTTTCTAAAGCAAGCAAAATACTTTCTCGTATTAAAAGGGGTATAGACCCCAGAGATAGAGACATAATCCTGCCTCTGTACAAAGCATTAGTAGGACCTCATCTGGAATATGCAGTTCAGTTTTGGGCATCATTTCACAAAAAGGATGTTGAGGAACTGGATAAAGTGCAGAGTAGGGCATCTAAACCCATAAGAGGCATGGAGGAGCTCAGCTATGAGGAAAGATTAACTGACCTGAATTTGTTCTCTCTGGAGAAGAAGCGATTAAGGGGGGAAATGATTACTATGCATAAATGGTCCATATAGTGAGCTTGGTGCCAAATTATTCACTTTAAAGGTCACTGCAAAGGACAAGGGGGCACTCTTTGCGTCTGGAGGAAAAGATGTTTAACCTTTAAATACGGAAAGGATTCTTCAGTTAGAGCTGTGAAAATGTGGAACAGACTCCCCCAGGAGCTAGTTCAGTTAACTGTTTTAAAAAACATCTGGATGTATTCCTAAATGCACAGAATATTACTGGATATCGAGTTAATATAGGTATATTAAGCATCAGAGATGGTTGATCCAGGGAATATCCAATTGCCTTATGGGATCAGGAAGGAATTTTTTCCCGTTGGAGCAAATTGAACCATGCTTAACAGGGTGTATTTTGCCTTCCTCTGGATCAACAGTGGGTATTTGTGGGCATAGCGTTCTGTTTAGGCTTTTCTTTTTTTCTCTATAGGTTGAACTCGATGGACTGTCCTTTTTCAGCCTGACTATGTAACTATGTAGCTAAATATACTGTTAGCTACACTGGTGTGGTTTAAAGAGAAACACTGTTGTGTATATCAAATGGTACAACCCCCCCCCCCAAAAAAAAAATATATAATACATTTTAAAATGCAATAAAAACATGAAAAACAACAAGGAGGGGCGAATACTTTCACAAGGCACTGTACATAAATACATTTTTCCATAAGCATGCATCTAATGTGAACTGTTTTGGCCTAAGACCATGTGCTTATGCCGTCTCTTAGGGTCACTGGGTCCTGCATCAACATTCTTGTTTTCTCTTCCTATTAAGACTTTAGTGTTAATAGTGATAATTTACATGATAATTTATCATCACATCGGAATGCTTTAACTTTTTTTTTTTTCCCCTTGACACTAGTTATGTTCCAGTTACCAGAGGATTGGGGTAAACTTCTACTTAGCAGATGTACAAGGTAATTAAGCTTAGAAATAAGATGACTGTTGTCCACTCCAGCTAAATAAAGTGAGATTGAGAAACAAATTATATGTATGGGTATTCTGTGACCTTTACAGGCTCCCTGTGATCAACCAATCTCAAGGACAGAATCAGCTATCAGGTGATCAATTAGTTCATTGACATTTTTTAAAAGAGCACAAAATGTGTTGTCATGTGATGTGCACATGCAAGTGCAGTTCTTGTAGTATGTACAAGTATATAAGAGCAGGGAGAAACCTAGAATTGCCAAATAGAAGATTGTTGCATTCAACACATTTTGCAAACTGCAACAACGAGAGAGTAATTTATCTCCTCTTACGTGAATGTTGAAGTCTATAAGTCAGGAAAACAAATTACAACTAAAAGTAAGAATGACCAATCATATCTTCGATATTGTATCTGAAAATCTATGATCTCCAATAGCCCGACATGTTTTATACAACAATCATAACTATTGTACGTAAGTTCCTTCCTTTTGGGTTCTAGATCATGACTAAGGTAGCTCCGAGGTCCCCTTTAATTAAGCACCTTTACCAGAAACCCCAATACCAACCTTAACCAATTAATACACTACACGAAAAGGTGGAGTTTAAATGGCCACTGCATAACATTTTATAAATAACAACCAATAACCGTACTGTATACACAATTGTTTGGTTTCAACGTCCTTAAAATTTACTATAACTCTCTCTCTCTCATATATATATATATATTCTCTACACAGACACGCACACACACACACACACACCAGTATCTGCGGGCACATTTTATACCTGAATGCCCCCAGTCACCATACACCGCCTTGAGGATGTAATTAAATTGCCTGCAGACCCACATTGGTCCCTATTACCCAGTCATAACCATTTGACCTTGCCACCACAGAAGGACACCCACACCACAGATTGGTCCCCTCCCCCTGTCATGTTATCCGACCACAGACCAATGTCGTCAAGGATCCAAACTGCCAAGCCACAGCTGTGACAAACATTCCACAACCACAGAGACCACACCAAGGGCGGGCAGGTGGGAAGTTCCTCTCTTCTGCTGGTCACCAACTTAACTCCCGAGACACATCCTTTCTGACCTCCCTCTGAAGCCCCTCCTGGAAGACCACCATCCTCCAATAATGGTGCATGACTCTCCTCTGACCCCTTTTCTAACTTTAGTTCCCCTTCCCACTCGTCATGTAGGCCTTACGCTTATTCCCTTTTATTCCATAGCTCCAGGCTCCAATCTTATTCATATGATTGAAAGAGGTGGAGATTTTGACAAAATGATTGTTACAATTGGAAAGCAGATGGATTTACAAAATTAAAACAGGATATTCCTCCAGGTCTAAAGGATTCAGTTCACTTTGCCTGCTATCTATGAGACTGTTTTTATGACACCAGGGTGCTCTTTGCACATTTCCACATCATGACATTCAAGCTAATGAGAGTATAATGTCATGACACTCCTTGTGTCCTTAGATGTTGTTATAATGTACGTCGCATGTTGGCAGGGGTGGGATAGTTCTGATTGGAGCATTTAGGGCCCATTCACACCACATTCAGACCAGACTGTTTCCGAACTCAAAATGCACCCTAATGTGTCCCTATGCGATTTCTGGCCTCTTTTCATACCAGCGCAGTACATTCCAGACCATAAAAATACTGCATGTCTCATTTTGTCTGGTTATTAATGCACTTGAACTGCAGGCAGTTTCACACCATTTTCCGGACCAGATCTTGTCCGGAAAATGTTGTGAACCTGCCCTCAGTGCAGTGTTAGGGTCTAACCTGGCACTAAAGGATTGTAACCTTCATGTAAACAGTCCTTAGAGATATGTCAGTGCATCATTTTTTTTTTATATTAAGAGACATATAGCAACAGTTCCCTCCCTGTCTTTTGTTTTCCTATCTTTTACTTTGCAAACATGCCTGGTCTGGCAGAGTACTAGAAAATGAGCAAAGACAGACAATCTGATTAATGAGTGCCAAGCAATGCGTATGGAAACATATGGCAAAAATGGGAGGACATGATTCGTGATTTGATAATATCCAGGTAGAACTGATCAGGGGGGAACCAGGAACAGAATAGGCTTTGTCTACCTCAGGTACAGGTGGTTCAGAGTACAGAGACTGAACCCCAGGTTAACAATATAGTCTCCAACCCATAGCGTGATCAAGCCAGCAACCGAATGCCTGTAACCAGTGTAGACTCTTCTCAACTTCTGGAAGCCCTGCAATGGGTAATTGCTTTGGATCCTTTATCTTACCTGCACTTTCTCGAGCACCTGATCTTTCTCAGCCTTGCATTCTGAAGCCTCTCTCCCAGCCTGGCGCTTGAGAAACTGCAGGTAAGCTAAAGGCTTAGGAAGAATATGTAACGTCTTGAACGGGTACATATTCCTCCCAACTTATGGCCTTCTTAACTGCCCTGATTAGGGGATGACTAAAGGCCCACGGTTACGGTAAATTATCAGCCAATATATCCGCTGGCAAATACTCTGTAACCAACTGCCTTTGGGCTAGAGCGGAACTTGAGGCGGATGTAGCTGTTTGACTTGGCTGGTAACTGACAGTTCATAAAACACTTCAGTCTGTTAAATGAGGCTTCAGACCTCCACACTTAAGTGCATCACACTATGCTACTCATACGGCGATAAACAGACGTATTTGATTCACTATTGGAGTGCATCTTCATATTCTACTTGATATCTACTACGGTTGCCAGCCGTTGACTACCACAGCACCCACCCTTATTTGTTTGGAAACGGCGGTTTCTGAGTGTGATGGGTTCATGGACTTTACGTCGGGTAATTAGACACCAACCATGTCAAGCCTTAAAATTGCGCCTGCGAAATTGCAGAAAATGACTACACCTAAAATTGACCATAGGCGACGTTTTAAAAGCTTTTACCGCTCTTCAGTTTAGTGTCATCAGTGATTAATGGCCCTAGATGTATTGCTCCCACTGCGACGTTCACGGCAATATGTAACACGTGCGGCACAATAGGCGGAATCGTCGTTTTCGCACGTAAACGCACCAGACACGTTTGTGTGTGTATGTATTACTTTTAAAAAAATGGTGTGTTATTTTACATTTCTTTTATTTGTGACTTTAAGCTTCTTTATTTTTCTAAACTTTTTTTATACTTAACTTTATTGCCATCACATAGGGGGCTAAGAAACCCCCTATGTGATAGCTAATTCACAAAACAAATCCTCTTTATGTAGACACCAGGGGTCTCCAAGACCCCTAATGTCACCTAGGGACCCCCAGAGAAACTGATGAAACAGAGACCTGTTTCAGCAGCTTTGCACCGGCATTTGTTGCCGGAGAGTGACACTGATTGTGGAAGTGATGCAATATACATCACTTCCTGCATTTGGGGACCAGAGAGGAGATCAAAGGGAGATTGGGTGTCTCTACTACAAGCGATCGGGTGTCTCTAGAGATGCCCTATCGCTTGAATGTAAACAGCCATCACTGGCTGTTTACATTTCCGAGTTTCCCTACTCGTGTGCATGCTGGGCACAGCGCATGAACAGGGGGAGGGGAAGGACGTCTTAAGATGCCCTCCCACTCCTATAAGGCTCCCGTCTGGACGGTCAGCAATGGCCAATGGATGGGAGGTGGTTAAGCACACATGGAAACTGAAGTGATCTACAGGCATAATAAGAGATATACAAAAAGATTGGCCAGAGCAAGCAGCACTGCAAAGCCATAGGAAAAAAATAGTACATTCACTATTTAAACAAGCTACTTGAAAGGAAAAGGAGAGGATCCTACTTGTCATCTTGTCCGTGCATGTGACATCATTCCAGTGCAAACAGATTCCTGATGCAGCTCAAACACAGTCCCACTGGAGTTACAAAACCAGGAGGCCAAGCAAGTGTCTTCATCATGCCGCCATGATTGAGGAACCATCCAAATATGAAAGGACCCCAAGTGGCCATTTCCTGCACCCCAAACTCTGAAAAATATACAGGGGAAGCTTCCCTTAGAAGGTGTATTTCATGACCTGAACAGAGGGAACTTTGCAACAGGAGAGGCTGAACTTGTGCAACAAGCTGGAAGAAAACCAGCAAAGTGAGGGGAAAAATCCAACATTCTTTTAGAAACGGCATAACTGGCTTGAGCAGCGAGGAACAAAGGAGAATGGTGGCCTTGGGAGGAGCGCTTCATTTTTAGTATAACCGGTCCTGTGATTGGTTGAGGAGTGGAGCTTTAACCATTTGTATGCTGACATGTTGGTGTAAGGAAAAGTTATTGTCACGTTTGTTGGCAAAGGTAATAATTATTGCAGAACACAATATGCAGATAGGTATTTTTCAACTTAAATGTTTAAACATCTGATACAAAAAAAGAAAAAAGTGTATGCAAATCCAGTGAATATATGAAATTGCCCACAAGATGGAGCTGGTGACAACAAATTAACAGTTCACAGTATAGGCATGCAGTAATGTTAATGTGGCACTGGTTGGTTCTTTGGGAAAAGCAGTTCACAGGATGGTAGCCACAGAGTCTATGGGCAACACAACCGGTATAAGAAGAAAATAATAGTTCGTACTTTCCTCGTGCACTTGTTGTAATGGTAGCAAATCACTCTGGATCAGAAGACACATGCTCAGCAGAACTGTAGAGAGATCCGAGGCTTTCGTCAGTGGCAATATGGATGTTCTGGATTGCTGGGAGAAAGCAGCAGTATGGCAGAGGGAAATCCACAGGGAAGGGTAATTTAACGGTTACCAAGATGTAGTAGATCAATAGGATTACCATTGTGAGTTTGAGGTTTTTGTCAGTGGAAATATGGATGTCCCAGATTGCTGAGAGAAGGCAGCAGCATGGCAGAGGGAAATCCACAGCACAAGGTAATGTAACTCTTAAGGTGCCCATACACAGGGGCGTCCCGAGGCTGGGTGACACCCGGAGCGGTAACCGAGTGTCACCCCGCCGAGACGTCACTGCGCATGACGTCACCACGCGCGTGCACATGACGTCATCGCGCACGCGCAGCAGTATTCCGATACCTGCCGGCGACCATCTTGGTGATGAACGCCGGCAGAGAGGAGGGGACAGTCACCCGGTGGGATAAGGTATGCCGCAGGGTCCCCTCCTCTCTCCTGATACTGTCGGGCATTCGGTCCATGACCGAGCGCCCGACTTTTCTGAGGGGGGTGACACCAAAATGACTGAGTCATTTTGGTGTCACCCACCCAATGGTGTCACCCGGGTGTGGGCCGCACCCCCCTTGTGACGCCACTGCCCATACACATTGCGATTATCGTACGATAATTATCGTACGATAATCGGCAGGTGTATAGAAGGCTTGCCACCGTTTATACTGTACGGTCGCACGTCTTTTGTCTAACGAGCATGTTTCAAAACCCGCCGAGAATCGTACGATTGTCGGTGGGTTTGTGACATGCTCGTAAGACAAATGCTGAACTGCCCGTTCAGCATTGCAGTCATCGGCAGCCCGCCCCTTAGCGGGGCGGGCTTTCGATGATCGCAAGTACGATCTGCCTGTCCAAGATGGGCAGATCGCACAAGCTTTTAATTAGCTTACTACCATCTTGCGATGGTTGTAAGGTGTATGCGCACCTTTACCAAGATGTAACAAATCATCAGGATTACCACTGTGAGTTTGATGCTGGATAGAGCTGTCTGCAGGCACAGACAGCAGGAGTGAACTAACATGGAAAAACAGTTGCTGCAGCACAGGTGTGGATGTGAACACCCTTTATATACCTGATGTGGAGAGGTGTGTTTGAGGTTTTAACCCTATATGACCGTATCAGTACTGGAGCTTACCATTAACAATCATACTGTTGTCTATTCATGCATCAAAATTCTCATCATTTATTCATTACAATGCACCTTATAATTCTCAGTATATTGATATAGTAAGACATCTTACAAAATATATCTTGCGCTGATACCTATAACAACTGCTGCATGCACTGAAAAATAGTGACAAACTTGCCCGGGAGCGGCTCGGCGGGTCTCCCCGAAGTGATCTGAGAGAGATTCAGTGGCTTCTAGCCGCTGATCTCTCCTCCGATCACTGGACCCGGAAGTGAAGTGATGATTGTACACAGTCTCCGGCTCTTAGATCCAGGAGATGAAGCTGGGGAAACAGATCTCTGCTTTCTCAGCTTCTTTGGGGTCCCTAGGTGACATTAGGGGTCTGCAAGACCCCTGATGTCTCCATAAAGAGGACCTGTCACACCATATCTGCTATGACATAGGCTGCTTGTTAGCTCCCTATGTAATAGCAATAGGGTTAGTGGAAATAAAATAAAATAAAATAAAAAGTGTTAAACACTTTTAAAAATGAAAGTAACATAAGAAAAATGATAAAATGCGAAATAATTTTTTTTAAGACCCCCGCCCCCCACGTGCACGCACATACACACGCAAACACGCGTCGCTGCGCCTACGTGTGAAAACGACCATTGCGCTACACATTACATATCGCTGCGAACTTCGAAGCGAGAGCAATAATTCTAGCACTGTCATTGACTGTTAGCACTAAACTGATGAGCGGTAAACGCTTTTGAAATGTTCCCTATGGAAAATGTACTTTTTTTGCGGCTTCACGGGCAAACACAATTTTAAGGCTTGACATGTTTGGTATCTATTTACCCGGCGTGACCCCATCTTTTATATTTTACCAAAAAATTGGGTATTATGTTTCTGTGCACTAAATTTTCATTTAGTTTATTTTTTCCTAAAAATACGGGTTTGATAAACATTTGTGCAAAAACCGTGCAACGTAAAAAATTGCACCTAGCATTTTTTATTCTACAGGGCCTCAGCTTTCAGAAAATATATCATTGTTGGTGGTCTGAAGCTGTTTCCTATCCAAAAATTTATATTTCATCATGTGTGAGCAAATAGCAGGAAAATGCCCCGGATGGCAAGTGGTTAACAATAGGTCTCCCAGGGGGGCTGTCTAAACTTTTATGAATTTTTGGGAGATGGCAAATGATTGGTATGACATTACAAAGGAGCAAATTTACAGTGCAGTCAAGGGTCCCTATTAGTTTACAAAATCATAGCACTGTTTAGAGAAATTGAGCGTCGTTTAAATTACATATCCGTAAATAAAAGCGCAGCTTCCACAAAGCCTGGCCAAAAAAGTAGCAGTCAGCGTTCCACACCATCCTGCATATAAGCTGTCACCGCAGGGAGAAGTTGATAAAGTAAAGGCAAACAGACAAGCATAAGTAGGCCGACGACATGACATGCTTACTGTTACTGTTGTAGGTGTTCCTGGTGCGTTCAATTGTTATGGGAATTTATACAAACTGTCCTTAATTTGCAAATGTGTTTGTTGTTGTCTGTTGCAATCTTATGAATAAAAAATGCATTCCACAGGATTGCAGTTTTTCACACAAGTGTTCTGTTTCAGCTCAAGTATATGATGACATTAAACAAGGAGGAGTTTTTGTTGAAGGAGGCCTCAGTCGTGACCATATATTTATCACTGTACATGACGCTGTGTTATATGCATTGGCCAACTATACTGGAACAAGGCATGAAGCCTACACAAAGGAGGTAAGGGGTCTGATGTTTATTTGCTTGCGTCAAATAATTTAGTTTATTGATCTTTAAAAAATAATTTTTCTTTTGTTTTTTACAATAAATTGGCAACATATTACATTATAGTTAAATAATTTGTAAAACTGTGCTCAACATTTTGGGCCTATTAACACCAATGCACAATCATTACAACATGCTTGGTATGCACACAGGCAGATATTAATCTGCCCTTTCAGTTTCCCTTTAAAAACACTCTAACTTGCAATGCATAGGTGTGAATCTGCCACATAAAAAAGAATGGGATTTCTACTTGAAATGTGTTTTTATGCAGCAAAATGCATATGTTTTACTATAGAAAAACAGACAAGTGTGACTAAGCCCTCAAGCTTTCTCCTGGTAACTGCCCCATCAAGGTCATTTAGGAAAAAGGGTGAGTGGTAGAAAACCATTTGCAACATAAATACTCTGTTATAAAAGGGAATTTGAAAGTTAGCTTCAGTGGTCTCTTAAGGCTGGGTTCACACCTGGGCGTACGGAATATGCGCGGTTGTCACGCGCTTTTATCGCGATTTGCGGTAAAAGAAACACGCGACAAACGCATGTTTCCGAGGGCTATGCGGCTGTATCCTAATGGATACGAATGGCAAATACGCCCCAAAGAAGCTCCTGTACTTCTTTGGGTGTAGGGCGTTTTTCAGGGCGTTCCTACGTGCTGTAAAACGCCCAGGTGGGAACCATGCCCATAGGCAATTATTGGTTTTCACTTCTGAGCGTTTTACAGCGCGTATGAACGCGCTATAAAACGCCCAGGTGTGAACCTTTCCATACAGTGTTTCTTTTGCCCTCTTAATGAACTTGCACCTGTTCACCACAAAGAGAATCTTTCATCCTAAGGACCACCTTTGTTTTACCTAGTAAGCTGATTATGTTGGCATTTGCAGGCATCATGTTGCCCCCCAAACTAAACTTACTGCCAGAAAGCTTGCAAAACACCTATAATAAAAGCTAGCAATTATCTTCTTCAGGGCTCTGGTGACATAGAGATTTGTGTGCAAGATATACAAGATGACATCAGCAAGGATTACCCAAATCTTGAAGAGGTAAGTGAAGAGGAAAACTGAACTGGGATACCGTTTAATTTAGTCTCACTGAAATCAGTTTTCAAATTATTTTCTTGTTATCCAATCATTTTTACAACTTAAAATTTTCAATACAATTTTCTTGTTTTACATTACAAAATGTTAATTGCAAAAACGTAAAAAGCACACACTTTATGATAGTTATCCCAAGAGGCCAAGAGATGAAACACAAAAACACTTGTGTATTTGCATATACAGTATATTGCTTGACTGGGTCATTTGGAATAATTTAATTTACGTGCATCTATTATTTAATAGACCCGTCACCTAAAAGAGAACCTGTCGCCACTAATATGTGATCACATAGGGGGCTTGTGAGCAGTCAGCTTTTACTGAAATTTTGGATTTGATAAGAGTTGCACTAATATCATACGACATAAAAATTTGTAACTGCCACCATTTTATTCTTGGGTATCACACAGTATTCGCTGTCACTGTAAACAATGTAAACTCCCCTCACAGCTGAACAGCAGGGCCGGCCTTAGGGGTGTGCGAGCAGTGCGGCCGCACAGGGCGCCATGGCAACAAGGGCGCTGTGCGGCCGACACAGCTCGTCCTGGGGGCGGCTTCTCTCCCCCTCACCGCTGGGCGCTGGCCATCCGATATGACAGCGCTCCCTCCTGCGC